ACACACACACACAAAATATGTACTCAAAACTCTAGACCCGACAACTCCAAATGACGTGGAGCTTACCGATCAAGATGAACTCGGACATCACCTACTAAGGAGGTCTACCCGTCTGTCTATCTGAACATGTATGCCTGAAATGCAGTATCTCCGGCAAAAGGGATGTTAGTACGAAATAATATACCGAGTATGTAAGAAAATATAACAACTTAAATCTGAAATTGAACTGATAATATAATAACTGAAAGTAACTAGGATTCAAAGATGATATGAAGATATGCTTACTTGTTGATAGTGACTCAACTCACTCAATATATTAATTAAAATAATTGTCCGGCCTTATAAGGCTCGATACGTGTAACTGCTCGGCCGTAGTAGGCTCGCTCATAGGCGCTCGGCCATACTAGGCTCGGTATCTAAATAATTAGTCGATCATTTTAGGCTTTCTCATAGGTGCTCGGCTACAGTATGCTCGATATATAACTTACCATCTGATCAGAGATTGCGCAATAGGGCATGCCTATCGATTATAGCTCGGTAGTGGTGAAAATACTATTATATATATATATATATATATATATATATATATATACACACACACACACACACCCTCTGCTCTCATGACTGAAAGAAGACAATACTTAACTGAATATGAAGTCCCGATAAGGGAGAATACTATAACTTATGATACTAGGAAAATGACTTCCAGTCATACGAACTTCTCTTTATGTCTTGTTATCGAATGCGTTTAATTACGAGATCATACCAAAATGAAGAAAAGGTTTAGCCTTAATATACCTTAACCCCGTTGAGTTCTTAATACCTTCCAAACAACTCTTCAAACAACTCAAACCAATCTACAATAGCATAGGGATATTCAAAATCAGTGCTAAGTAAAGGCTAAGTCCGTATCTTAAGCTAGTAGCTCGTTTACGTAAATTCGGGCAACATCTCCCCTATAACAAGGGCCTCCTCCAGTACCATATACCAACAAGAACAACCAAAGCAATCCATCAAGCATAAATATCAATAACAAGATACCATATAATAACAACAAGTTACAACTACTTTACGACGAGCGGCAAGCTTGAATTGGAACCCGTATACCCCATATCACCCCTTATAGACTTCTTACTTTAACTTAATAATATTCTTAACATGATAATGAAGTCATTCAACAATGATCCCAGCCTTATACCATATAGTTATAACAAGAAAACAGTTCACAACTCCAACTATCCCTAATTAGCAACTTTATTCACTAGTTCATGTCTAATTCATCCATTTAACTCAATCAACATCAATATAACCTTAAGCACAAGAAAGAACACAATACAATTACCTCCTATAGTAGCTCCAAGTCGAAATCCACATTATACTTAGCGTACAACAAGCCTCAATGGCAATACAACACCATAGAAGTGCTAATTTCCTTGAGCATAGAAGTTATTCTTCAAGGTTAATCTTGGTTAGATCATCAAGGGCTTGGGAGGGTTTTTGGGAGTATGAGGACGAAGTTACGTACCTTATACATCACCCACAAGCTTTAATCTAGGCTGTTATTAGCCCGCAACAACCCTCAACATCATCACAATCTTGTAGAGGTGTTCTTCCTTCTTTAAGCTAACTTGATGTTGGATTATGGTGTATATTTTTGGAATTTGTTTGGAGTCTTAGGGGAACTGTTTGTGAGGGTTTGTAGTAGGGCTATTCAAAATCGAATCGTAACCGTTAACCGAACTGTAAAATTGGCTTATTGACTTATTGATATAGGGTTATCGGGGTAATGATTGGTGAAAAGATTGAGATTTTATAATTAACGACTTAGCAGTTTGGGGGCTGATTACTCAATTTTCTTATCGGATAAATCGTTAACCCGTTAAAATTTTTATATTTATACTTTTACCTTTATGTATATAAAGTATTATTGAAATCCTATATCCTTATCAAAGGAATTTATGGGGAGACCAATAAGGGTGGCACACAGTAAATGATTTCCGAGAGAAGAGACAAAAAGCGCTAGTCCTAAGAATTATCATATGAATTGATCTCTGTGGCAGAATGAGCTAAAGCTCCTGGAATTTGAAAGTTATTCTTGTGAGCAAGTGAGTTTTCACGACCCTTTGTTTGTATAGTAGAATGCAAGCTGATATCTTAAAATATTTTGTGTCAGAAATTTTAATATGGTTTCATATACATTTCATGTTTCTTTTGTTGCCTATGTTATCCAGATTATGTTCTGTTTTCTATCTCTTCTTTTTGTTTAGCAGTGAGGACAAAATGTTTAATCAAGTATAAGTTTCAAGACAAATGTTCACTATGGTAATTGAATGCAATCCAAAGGTGACATATCCTAAATTTTTTCTTATCTCTAATTCTCTAATTCTTTTTTATTGTCTATTTAATTTAGCCAATAAACTGCCCCATAATCGCTAATCTATTACCAATCCATTCGATGTCTTATTGGTTGGCTAACAAATTTCTATATTTATAGATCGATAACCGATAAATCAATCCGTTAAGCGTAAATATCGGTCTAATCCGCCCGATAAGCACCCATAGTTTGGAGAGTGTGAGGATGGAAGGAGGTCGAAAAATGAACAAAGCTCATCCCAAAAACGGGATAAAAATAGGTGAATGTCAGCCACCGACCAAGTGGGTTCCATAGGGACTGCCTGCGCAGTCTCGCAAAACGTAAATATCTCCCTACTTCGATGTCATATCGACGCACGATTTAATATATTGAAAACTAGTCTCATAGATCTTCAATTTGGTAGATGGATCACCACGTAACTCCTAGTACATCGAGAGAAAAGCTCAGTGATATTAGACCCAAATTTCAGTAAGATTATGAACGTATCTTGCGACAACTTTTGTTTTACAACTTGTTTGACTTCAAAACTTAACATACGGATATTATATGATTCAAGTACCTTAAAACACGACCTACTTGGCATATTAAGCACTCCTAGTTTTAGCCCCAAAGTACGAGTTATAACATCTTTGATTCGTTTAACCTCCAATCCTCACGATACTTCCGTAACACATGTGTTAACTCATCGTTATCGTTGTAAAAGTCCTTAAACTCTCCGACTTATATTAATTCACTTAAGACGCATTCCAATATGAAAGTATGGGGTGTAACAAGTATTTATAAAATAATTACGAATAAAATTATACTATGTAAGTATAAGTTAATTATGTGATAAAATAGTAACATGCTATCATATATTAAGTAGGCGATTGGACATAAAAATTATAATTTTTGATAAAAAGTAATATTTGGAGTTAAGTTGAAAAATGGTATTTGGAATTTGAAATTATGTTTGGACATGCATTTCACTTGAAAAACTATTGCATTTTTGTGAGTGAGGATAAAAGTTTTTCTAAAATTTTGAAATTTGATTTATGAAAAACTCATTTTCAAAAAAATTTCTAAAACTTATAAAATTTTATGGATAAACATATTTAAAAATAAAATAAAAATAAAATTATTTTATGGACAAACGTGGCCTAAATTAGTCTTGACAATAACATAACTTAAATGGTAAATTTTAAAATATAGAACCGTAAGAGGAAGAATTTTTCATATACAAACTAATCTGGTGCAAGCTAGCAATGTGGGCCATCTCTGCAAAAACTTTAACAGAACAAAATCATTTAAAAATGTTCAAAAAGTCCAAAAGACAACAAAGACTAAGACAAGCCAAGCACGTGACCTGCCAAAAGCTTTTTACTACTACTGCAAAAAGTTTCCTTTGCTTTTCCTTTTAGACATCCTCTTGTTCTTTCTGAATTCTGATCAATCCAACGCATCCCTTCAGTCCAATCACTGAATAATAAGCAAATTTCTCAAAACCCAATTTCTTTATTTGTTTTTTTAAAACATTTTAAACTGATTAAAATAAAATTCTTTGTTTTTTTTTCTTTCTGTAAAAACTGTCCACATCTATATGTGTGAGTTTTTGGCATATATTTTGGCTTCTTTTGTATGTTTGTATCTTTGTGGTATATATTAAGAATGAGAATAATAATAGAGGGAGATGGTGATGATGATCTTGAGTGGATACGGTACAAAGCTTCAACTGAAGGGAGAAGCTTAGTTAGTTCAAACATATTATATTTAACAATATTCCACTGATGGAATTTGTTGGGATCAGTTACCAACCATGAAACTAGTCCTTTTCCAATATTATCAGATCTCAAGATTACGATGTTTTCAGGCTTAATCTTGTTCTTTCTCAAGAAAATTCCATTTTTCTTTGTTACAAAATAGTGCCCATTTGGCTCAAAGTATAATCCCAGCATCTGCATAATTATGTAAGAAGAGCAACTTTGGCATCTTTGTTTGAAAGAGCAGGATTTGAGGTTGAAAAAGCATCTCCTTTTTTGGCAAATTGGTGGGGTTTGCTTTAAAGCAATGTTGAAGAAGTGATTTTTATGTGAAGAATGATTTTTTTTGTTTTCCGGGAAGGGTTTTTTAGGCAAGTAGTAATAAGTTAAAATTGTAGAAGTGAGCATTAGTAGAGGATGGAGGGAAAGTGGTGTATGCTCTGGTATGTGGGGTTGCTGGTTTTAACATTGATGGAGAGTTGTTATGCTTCTCTTTCCCCTACTGGCATTAATTATGAAGGTAAGTTTCTTTGTCCTGAATTTTCATTCATTATTCTCACTTGTCCTGAAATTTCCTTTCTTTATTTGGCTAAGCCTGTTTTATTGGTTCTCTTTAGCTTTTATAAGTAAAAATGTTTTTTTTCTTTCAAGCTTTTGACTTAATGACAAACTTAATAGGGAAAAAAAGTGACAATTTTTGGTATAATTTTATGCAGTTGTTGCTTTGACGGAAATTAAGAAGGCGTTACATGATCCTTACAATGTTCTGGAGAATTGGGATGTGACTTCTGTGGACCCTTGCAGTTGGAGAATGGTCACTTGTTCCATTGATGGCTATGTTTCTGCTCTGTAAGTAGTGTGTGTGTGTTCAGTTCATAAGGCCTAATTTTAACTTAGTAAACTGGATGCTCAAACTTTTTTCCTTCATCAGTGGACTACCTAGTCAAAGTCTATCTGGAACATTATCACCTGGAATAGGCAACCTCACTAAATTGCAATCTGTGTAAGTTTTTGACTGTATGCATCTATTTATTGACATAAGGTTTAGTACGAAACGTTAAGCTGTTTTCTTATACATATTGAATTGATCTATTCATGTAGATTGCTGCAAAACAATGCTATTTCTGGTCCTATTCCTGATGTGATTGGGAATTTGGAAAAGCTTCAGACACTTGATCTCTCCAACAACAAATTTGAAGGCGAAATGCCTGCTTCTTTCGGAGACCTGAGGAATTTAAATTATTTGTAAGTTCAGGATATTTTGCTTTTCTTCAATGTTACAGGCGTTCTTATCTCAAACTAAACTTGAACCTTATTGTGTAATTTCACTGTTGAGCAAGACAGGCGACTAAACAACAATAGCCTCACGGGATCCATTCCTCAATATCTCTCTAACATTGAAGGACTTGCTCTTGTGTACGTTTGTATGCCCTCTTTTATCCATTTTGCTTCGAAATTTATTATGCGTATTCTTCAATCTTATTCTTACACTGTATTGACTTAGCTGATCTTGCTTGTAGGGATGTTTCTTTTAATAATCTTGGTGGTCCACTGCCTAAAATATCAGCAAGAGCGTTCAAGTGAGTCACTTTTTCTATTGTTTTAATTCTAAGTTGCTGCAGTTGAAGTAGTAATTCTCAATAATATTGAAACTGTCTTGTTCATATGGCTGTAAATTTTAATTTCATTAACAATAATGAAGTAGTTTAGAGTACAACGTGGTTCTTCTGGGTTAATTACTGCTTAAAAAGTACTTAGTATTTTTATTTTCGAGATACTTTATAGGAAGACAATTGATAGATTAGATTAGTAAATCCTCATCATATTCAATTAAAGTTTCTCTTCATGTCTTTCAGAGTTGTTGGAAATCCTTTAATTTGTGGCCAAAGTTCTGGGAACAATTGTTCTGCAGTCTATCCAGAACCGCTATCATTCCCGCCAGATAGTTTAGGAGGTGTGTATAACATCAATTCTGTCCACCACCCTTTCCTTTCATCTAAGAGTGGGAAAAAATAAAACTTAAGAAAACAAATACAGGAGGTTCAGCTATCTCTGTTTTTGAAAATATTTTGTCTATTTTCTTTACCTCCACAGATAAATCAGGAGCAGGAGGTAAAAGCCATCATGTCGCTGTTGCTTTTGGAGCAAGTTTTGGTGCTGCTTTCTTGGTTATAGTAGTTGTAGCACTGGTTCTTTGGTGGCGCTACCGGCATAATCAGCAGATCTTCTTTGATGTCAATGGTTAGCAGATTTTCTTTTGCTTTTAATCCAACTAAGATGATTCAAGTTTCTTCTCCTCAGTAGAATTGTCATCATTTTGAATAGTCGGCATCATTTGATTTTCTTTTGAAGCTAGCACATCACAGAGACTGGTGGCTTGTGGTTTAATGGTTATCTTAGTTTCTTAATAAGTTCATATACATACATCTTTGTGTTAATCTAACATTGGGAAGATATACGTTGACATTTGGTTGTAAAATTTATTTGCCTAGTATCATGTGGGACCTCAAGTTTGCAATGGATGTTTATCAGCACTTCACATTTACCCAGATCGTGAATATATTGAAGGCAAAGAATTCTCTTGCTTAGCAAATTACACTGTCCTCCATACTCTGAAATATTCTGGCCAACGTTTTCTCAAATTGAGACTTAGTACAATCCTTGTCTTCGGTAGTTACTGCCTATCTAGACCAAAAGATTGGAACTGGTGTTTCTCACCCTTCCTTGGCTAGTTGCTGTGGGCACATTATAGTCCATGAGTTCCTTCTTCAGATATTAGCGAATCTTTCCATGTCAACTATTCTCTGAGCATACTGGGGTAAAAAAATATACTATTATCAAAGGTAGGATTAAAAAAATGCTATGATCCACTTCTTGAATAAGGTAGCTTCACTGCTGTATAAGACTTAATTCACTGTCCTGACCAACCTTGTCAGGTGAATCAATTGTTCCCCCTCCCACTGGGATGACGTTTTCCTTGATCAATCTTAGACTCTGGTTGTTTCTTGCATATTGGTGGACATTTTATGGGAACAAGTCGCTACTTATTCTTTCCCATCATTTTCCTTGAGCATTTAGATTTTAGTATTTTTTGCCTGTCTCCAGTTATCCTCTATAGCTGTATCTGAGCAATGATTTCTCCATTGCAGAGCAATATGATCCAGAGATATGCTTGGGTCACTTGAAAAGATATGCCTTTAAGGAACTGCGGACTGCAACTGATCATTTTAGCTCAAAAAATATTTTGGGGAGCGGAGGATTTGGAGTTGTGTACAAGGGCCGCTTAAATAATGGAACTGTTGTGGCTGTCAAAAGATTGAAGGACTACAATGCTGTTGGTGGTGAAATCCAATTTCAGACAGAGGTCGAGTTGATTAGTTTGGCTGTCCATCGAAATCTTCTCCGTCTTTGGGGTTTTTGCTCGACTGAAAATGAGCGGCTTCTTGTTTACCCTTATATGCCAAATGGAAGCGTAGCAGCACGATTAAAAGGTCAGCTTCTTGGTCTTACTACTTTTCCTAGTAGCTTCAGATCATTACTCCAACCTCTATGTTTTGTAAAGTTGGACATTCTCAGGAATAAACAGTTCCAAGTGTAGTTGCCTTTCACTTTCATTTTTAGGTGCTTGTTAACAACAGTCTGATTTTTTGTTTCACCATTTCTGGAACTTAAGTTAAAATGACTATCTTAAAGCTGCACAATTTGCTATTACTGAAAGTGAGCTTAACAACATAAAGTATTCTCTTACAAGATAAATCAGCTTTGCTGATATTTCAACCATTCATCTCACAAGGTATCTTGACACATTCAGTTTCTCCACTCTATCTGTGATGCCCCCTATTTGCTGTCATCATTATATTTCACTTCTTCAAATATATGGTAAGCCCTCATCAGCCACCACAGTGATGTTATTTTTTTCTTTTGATTGTGCTTCAGTTCGAAGCTGTATCCATTTTTTATTTTTGATAGATCTATCAGCTGCTTTTTATTAGCTTCCTAAGTGAACTTGCAGCATTTTGAAGAAACGATCCAAACATTGCATTGAATTAACCATGCCTTTGTTAAATTTGCAGATCACATCCATGGCAGGCCAGTTTTGGACTGGTCAAGGCGGAAAAACATAGCATTAGGTACAGCAAGAGGGCTGGTATATTTGCATGAGCAGTGTGACCCCAAAATAATCCACCGTGATGTTAAAGCAGCCAATATTCTGTTGGATGAGGAATTTGAGGCAGTTGTTGGAGACTTTGGGTTGGCAAAGCTCTTGGATCACCGGGATTCCCATGTAACGACTGCTGTCAGGGGCACCGTTGGCCACATTGCTCCAGAATATTTGTCTACTGGTCAATCATCAGAGAAAACTGATGTGTTTGGGTTTGGAATCTTGCTTCTTGAGCTAATTACAGGTCAGAAAGCTGTGGATTTTGGACGAGGGGCCAACCAGAAAGGTGTTATGCTTGACTGGGTATGTTCACCCTGTCTCTGTTATGTGTGGAAAACATAGTGTATTATTAAAATGGAGAGAAGAAAGGTCTAAATGGATTTTTGAAGAGTAGCTACTGTAATTCCCAGTATCATTTCGATTTTGAATACTAGTTTTGTATACTGAATCTTGCTAATGAAGTGTTAAGCATTCTGTATTGGATTCCCTTGTTAAATTTATGGCTAATGTAATGCAGGTAAAAACGCTTCATCAAGAGAAAAAGCTGAACCTTATGGTGGATAAGGATTTAAAGAACAGCTTTGACCGGATTGAACTTGAAGAGATGGTTCAAGTTGCACTTCTGTGTACTCATTTCAGTCCTTCTCATCGCCCAAAGATGTCCGAGGTATTAAGGATGCTGGAGGGAGATGGATTAGCGGAAAAATGGGAGGCTTCACAAAAAGTCGAAACTCCAAGGTACAGAACTTCTGAAAATACACCAAAAAGATATTCCGACTATATAGAAGAATCATCACTAGTAGTTGAAGCAATGGAGCTTTCAGGACCTAGATGACGTCCAATTATCGTTCTTCTCCTTACACGTTATCATTCTCGAGTATTTAAAGTTGGAAGTGGAAAATATTTGGTTGTTGATAGCTGTTGCATGCGTGTGTAAATCTGTAAAAAGAACGGGAAGGTCATGTATAATTCGTTTCTTTTTGATCAACAGCTGAGTTCATAGGGGTCCTCTCTCCCTCAATTTTGAGACTGCCATTTCTGTATGTAACGTAAGAGTTCATTAGCTTAAAAATCTTTAAATTTACTGAGGATGAGAGCAAAAGCTAGCCATCCTCATCCTCATGTACAGTGGTCAGATTGAAGATTTGTTAATCCATTATATGCTACTCCTACTCAATAGCCATCCTCATGGCCTCGTGATACACCAGTATATTATGTAAAGAAATCTGAAACCAACCAATGGGTTTTAAAAGGAAAATATTTACCTGCGCTTGGTCTATGCACTAGAGCAATAAGTGTGTCTTCTTCGAGAGGTTTATAGCTTAATTTGGCACGAATGTCAGGTCGAATAAGTTTTTCCGTTTACAGAACTTGCATCTGTGTACTAATAATATGTTATGTATTGGCAAGTTGGTGGTCTTTCCTTTTTCTCTATTCCTGTGAAATGTACAGAATGCTGAGTCTTGTAATAGTAGTGATTTAGACCAGTGATCATTTAGAACAAGGTGCTCAGAAGCTGCCACCCACTAAAAATTTGTGATCATTTAGTGATGGGATGGGCCATCTTAAATCTTTGATAAAACCAGTGCAAGATAATAATAGTTAGACTAAAACCATGTGGGATGGTCACTGTTCTTTTTACTGATGCCGAAAGGGAGCCCGGAACTAAAATAATGCATTTTTGGACTCAAGACACAAAAATAGATGGAAAAAAAAGTTAGTGACAAAAATACATATAACGCCCTTTTAAAGGGCGCTACACCTTAACGGTCGTTTGCCCGTTAAGGTATAGCGTCCTTTAAAAGGGCGTTATACTTGAATATGAAAAGACGGGTAAGTATAGTACCGTGTTTATTAAGGCGCTTCCTTTCCCCACCAAACCATAACNACGTCAAAATAGCTGATAGTTCAAACACAAACTCTGTCTAATTCTAGTCAACGATCGTAAGAAAATAACATGAGAAAATAATAATATTTTCCGGATATCTTGGTGCTACTGGGCCTCAAATATCGAGCCCGGAACCCATATGTGAATATTTAATAATTAAATCTTATATAATTATAAAAATTAATTATTTAATTTTATTATAGTAAAATATAAGTGAGTCATAAACAAAAATATATAATAATAAAACTAAAATATAAATTAATAAAACTAACATATAAATAATAAACTAACATTTAAAATAACAGACAAGTTGAGTGATAAATCGAGAAAATTTTCTCATCATGAACACAAGAATTTAGGATATTTTGGTGCTACTAGGCCTCAAATATCGAGCCCGAAACCCATATGTGAATATTTAATAATTAAATATTATATAATTATGAAAATTAATTATTTAATTTACAAGCAAACATATAAAATAATAAAACTAACATGTAAAATAATAAACTAACATATTAAAGTAAAATAATGTAATTAATCTTGTTTAATTTATAGTAGACGACATGGAGGTTCCGCTTTTGCATCCCGGACCTGCCAGCCTGGAGCTACTGTTGTTACAGGGCGATCATAGGTCGTCCCACATATGGGAGGGATAGTACTGGCCCAGACGTTCCGCGCCAGGAGAGTAGACGACATGTGGGGCTTTCTCAGGGACCACCCTCTCCATCCCCGTATAGTCAGGCGCCTCCAGGATACGGGTTTTTATAGGATTGTGGAGATCGGCCAAGCTGCAGCTCGATTGGTCGTTGATCACGACCCTGATAGAGCGGTAGCGACCGGAGACGCACACATTCCATTTGCCCATTGGCGAGGCCACCATCACGCTGCAGGACGTGGAGGTCATGTATGGGCTGCCCGTTGATGGACACCATGTTGTTCTGCCGCATGCCATGAGAGAGCAGATAGGTTTGCAGTACCTGGACATGCTGCAGCTGCTCACCGGTTTACAGCCACCGGAGGAGACTGCACTGGTTGGGGCCAGTCGTCTGCAGTTGACGACTGTCCGACATCATTTGGAGGCATTGCACCCTGACATCACAGACGATACACCGAAGCTTCATATTCACCGGTACACGAGGTTGCTGTTACTCCTTATGTTTGGAGGGGTTTTGTTCCCGAACACTTAGGGAAACCTAGTCAGCTTTAGATTTCTTCATCATCTTGAGCGGCTAGATGATTTACCCAAGTACAGTTGGGGTGTTGCTATTCTCGGCTACTTGTATAGGCAGATGTGCCGGGCGAGCATGGGCACCCAGCGTGACATTGCTGGATTTTTGCCGCTGCTACAGGTGAAAACATATTCGAATACTCTATTCATTATAACATACCCAGTAAAAATATACCTTAAATTTTACGTCCACTTTGTATGTTAGGTTTGGGCCTGGGAGCGGTTCCTGCAGTTGCAACCACCTTTACCACCATTAGCTCCGGGTGCACCACCTCCGTTTCTCCCTCTAGCTAGGAGGTGGGTTGATAGGCGGGGATATGGACGAGAGTACGAGACTTGACATAATCTCTCCTTGTGCAGGGATTTGTTGGATTTGCTGGAGGGTGCACATGTAAATGTATACCTAAGTTTACTTGTCCTGGCTTCATATGTGTTGCGTATACTCACGTTTTCTGTTGTTACTTAATAGTTTATTTGGAGGCCATACAGCGACGAGCTAATAGCTGGTTTGCCCGATTATTGCTCGGCCGACCGAATTATATGGAGCTCTTCCGTTCCGTTGATGTGCCTTGATATTGTGGAGCATCATGCCACCGAGCGAGTACTTCGCCAGTTTGGCCACCCGCAGCTTGTACCGCCACCGTCCGCCTGGCATATCACACATTACCAGCGGGATGATCGTTCCAGGGTGGACCGGACATATATGGCCTGGCTAGAGGCACAGATCGATATGACCTGATTCCGCCCCCTCCACCTGACCGGACGGAGACCGAGCATGATTATATGGGCTGGTACCGCAGCGTTACCCAATTTTTCGTCGGGAATCCCATTTATTGCGCTGGCGGTCGGTACGTTCCATACGTCGGGAGGCACGAGGCACTGGTATGTTATTTGGTATACTTACTTATAATGTTAACCTAGCGTTACGTAATTTATATTTTACATGTTGTGCAGGTTATTGGCCTACATATGTTCCACCAGTTGGGACTGCAGATGCAACAGCATACCGGCGAGGGAGCAGCCGCTTTGCACGAGTATGGACGACAGGTTACCGATCTGGCTTCCCGGACGTTGAGGCGAGCCCGAGATGATGAGCGATTAGGATATGAGGCTGAATATGTGGCGCCAGAGCAGTTCCATCGTGGGCCACTAGTGGGCGGGAACGTGGTCGACGTGGCAGGCGTGCCCCAAGAGGTAGGGGTGTCCCACGAGGTCGTGGGGGTCGGCGAGGAGGTGGTCCCCAGCGAGGGGGCGTTGAGGCACCTGTTGAGGATGTTGGAGTTGATCAGCCAGGTGACCTCCATGAGCCAGACCACTCTCACAACAACATGCCGTCATTCAGCCTTCAGCTTCAGCTCACTCCAGGGACTTCGCAGGTGACCCTGTCAGCTCCATTGTTGATCACGGGCACGGGCATTACGCGAGAGGATTGGGATAAGTATTTTCCTGATCTTCCAGGCCCTCGACCGTTGCTGATGATCGGCCGACACGAGATGTGGATAGTGGGCGCCGACTGAGTTATGGCTCATCATCGAGGGATGCTGGGGATCTTTCACAAATGCAGGTATGTATGTATTACTATTACATTTAAATTTGTTGTTATCTCATTGATTAGCCATAAATATCTTTATATTTTTTTTTATTAAGGCTTCATCCTCGCCCGTCACAGAGGCCATTTTGTGCGATACTGACATGGCTGCGACGGATGATTATATTCATGTAACCCCCCAGAAAATTTTGAAGAACTTAAGTGTAAAGCCCGATAAAATTTGCAAAGAAAATAATGTTTCATGGTGCCGAACTAGGCTTATGTGTTTCATGGCTCGGATCTTTTGGGTTGAACAATGCACAGGAGAGTAAAAGAAATTTTTTGGCGGAATAGTGCATTTCTACGGTCCATTATGTGACCGCAGAATCACTCTGCGGACCGCATAATGGCCGCAGAGTGAGACAGTTAATTGGGTCAGTTGGAAGCAATTATGCGGTCGACTATGCGATCGCATAAATGTTATGCGGTGCATTATGCGATCGCATAAATGTTATGCGGTGCATTATGCGATCGCATAACAGTTATGCAGACCGCATAGTGACCGCATATACAGACAACCTTTTTGATCATTTTATCAGCAATTATGCGACCGATATGCGGTCCGCATATGCGACCGCAGAACTGTTCCGGAGCTCCATTTTTGGATTTTAAAATCCGACCCTATTTCGTTAAATACACTCTTTGGGGCATTTTTGAGCCATAATCTGATATTTTAAAGTGAGAGAGAGTGCCCTAGAGTGAGAAGGTGTTCTTCAATAATTTTCTTCAATTCTTGCTCAAGTTTTGGAAGATTTAGAAGGGAAGCTCACTAGGTCTTCATCCTAGAGGTAAGATTCTACACCCAAAACCCTAATTTCGAAATCTTCTGAAAATGGGTAACTAGCAAAGTAATTTTTGGGCATGAGAGTTGTTTATTTTACATGCATGTGTTATCAAAGGGTGTAGGAAGATTGTTGAGCTAAAAATAATAAAGCTTGGGTTGTGGGATGATGGAATCCTTCATAAAAAGGACATTGAAACCTTATGCACATCTAGTGTTTGATAAAATGCTCAAGTGAGCTAGAACCATGATTATCTTCCAAATTTTGATTCAATTTGTTATATTTCTACAATAGATTGAAGTTGCTAAGAATTCCGGAACGTTTTAGAGTTTAAGGAAGCTCAAGTGAGGTATGTTGGCTAAACTCTTCTCTTAGAATTGAATCCCACGATATTCATGTAAATTATGTAAGTCCCGAGTGATTCATTATGAAACCGGCTATTCCGAGTAAGATTGAGTTGAAAGATATATGTTCAACAAGCATCCCAAATGCTTTATTCATGTTATGTTACCAATTGAAGATGTGTTAAAATATGGGTTGTGCATTAATAATGTTTCGACTTTAAGTCAAGTTCAAATGAAGGCTATTATGCCAAATTTTGTGAAATATCTCTATGTGCTTTAGACTCTAAATTGCTCACATGTGTACTACACACCTTGATTTGAATTGTATTTGTTGTT